TTCATCAACTCTTTCTAAGGCCACAGAAGAAGCAGAAGGAGAAGAAGGTCCCAAGGTGTGACGGAGAAACTCTGATTCAGAGTGACGATGCTTTAAGGCCAAACGTGACTGAAGCTTCTAAACCTGCAGCTGAAACATGATGTGAGAATAACGAGCTAATAAGAGGAGCAGCTCCGGTTAAACATAAAGAACAAAGTGATTGGAGCGGAGCCTGGAGTTCAGTCTGGGCTCAGAGCAGCTTTAAGGCACAGACGTAATGAAGGCCTGCTGCCTTGCTCTAAGGCAGGGCAAACCGGGTAACATCTAATGTGTTGGTAAACACACTGGAAAATGGTTCAGTGTTTAGTTTTCAAATCAAACTGGGACCAAATGTGACATTCTGAGTTAAAGTTCAGTGACACGGCAGAAGTGTTCATGGCCCTCATCTCAAGATGCAGATCGGTTTCTGCAGCTTCCATAAACGGACCAATCATACGAGAGCTGTTGGGCGTTTCCTCCAGACTCCATGTGAGAGAGAAAACGTGTCAAACCCAGAACTGTTACGGTTAGTGGAGCTACAGGAAGAGTCTGTGGGAATGTGGAGGAGCTGCTCTTCACAGGGAGTCAGTCCAATGACACGACCTCGCAGGAGACAGGGGTGGGCGGGGCATCAGGTGGGCGGAGTCTAACACAGGGAGCTGCACTGACTGGTTAATCAGAGAGGGTCAGAGTACGTAAACAAGTCGCGCCATGGAGGAATTTTGTTTTAAAGGTGAACATAAATGTGAGCAAACAAAACCTGATCTAAAAAATAACCTCATTTACATTACAGTAAGATAATGGAGATGTCTGTTTATTTCTAATTTAAAATGTAAATCTTTTGATTCCACCGGCAAATCATTAAATTCAAAAATTAAAGAAAAATACAGTTATTAAAAACGTTTTTTTTTAACTTATATTTCAAGTTTTGCAGAGCATTGAACAATGGTTAAAGAAGCTCAAAATAAAAAAGTACTAAAGATCTAATAAAGGGCGAATGATGCTGATCCCCATCCTAAACTGGTCCAGCTTAATTAATACTGAGCCCAAGTTTGGTTTTAATTTCTTTCTCCTGAAATGGAGCCACATTTGTAGGGAAATTAATCTGTAAGCAGCAGAGTTGAGTGTTTGGGTTAAAATCTTATCCTGCTGTTTGCTATAATTCACCAAAGACAAGGTTGATAAAATAAGTCTATTGAATGTATTTAACTAACAGCGTTCACCTGTTGTTCCGTCATCTCTTCAGCATCCGTCCATAAACCCAGCTCTGCTTCTCCATCCATGAAGGCATTTCTCTGCCAAAGGGAGCCTCATTTATTGAGAAATAACATTTCTAATGGAGTCCAATTAACTACAGAGACAATTTGTTAAAACAATAGAAGAAAAATCTACTGACATTAAAGTCAAATTATTTGCTATTTTGCTCTGATATAATTTCCAACAGTCGGTGGTTCCAGCGGATCGTTCCTCCATCATCATGATGTTTTATCTCACTAATGGCTGAATTATCCTGAATCTTTGAACCCTCCAGACCAACATCATTACTGCTTTAAGTGCTCATAGACTGAATCATTAAATTATGATTTCTGTGTTCAGTTACCATCATTTATTACTTTACTTCTGTTTATCTAAACCTTTTTTTTTTTTTAGCTAACACTGTATGAATATGTTTTCTCCTTTGCAAATCCACCAGGGGTCTCAGGATGCATTGTGGGTAAAGACTGAATCGTATCCTGATCCTTTATCATGTTGGTTTTTAGAGGGAAACTTAACTTAATAATTTCCTGATGCATGGGATGATTCTTATATCACAGCCTGATAACAGGATCAAACCTTCAGTGAAACTCCGCCCACCTGCACCTTCAACACCCCCTACCACCGTGGGTAAAATTTCTCCTGCTCAGGTCTGACAGGCTGAGGATCAGCGGCCCCGTGACTCGTCCTACACGGATCTTCATTCCTCCTCCTCTTCCTCCTCCTCTTCAGCCATCACCTCTACCAGCAGGTCAGCTGTGCACGTTGCTTCGCCCAGACTGTTGACAGCTTTCACCATGTACTTGGCATCATCGTCACCTGAAACCTGCAGGATTCAGCAGACCATAGAATAAATTATTAACACTTCAACATAACAGGTTAAAGAAACATTATTAGAATGGATTTAGAGGAACTACAGGTGATCCACCAACACAACAAACAAAATAAATCTTATATTGATGGAAATAGGTTCTTTATCAGCCAATAGGTTGAATCTATTGACCTGCTGAAGGCAACACTTGGTGGGGATGGGGGGATTGGTGGGGCTACAGAGAAGCAACAAAAGTTTCAGATTTTAATTTGTAAAAATTGAAAACCAAGATTTATTTTTTCTCTGGGTTATAATTATCAAGTTGTGTAAAACTGAGGTTTTTAGTTTTTAAATAAATAAGTAATAGAAAGAGTTAAAGGCTTTTGGATACTTTGCCAAGTGATTCCAAAAATATTAAAAAACAATCCATTGGACTTTGTGTCCAAGTTTGAAGACGTTTCTCTTCCCATCCAGGAAGCTTTTTCAATTCAAAATGTCAGAAATAGCATTGAGTTCCAGACTTCATAGAGTGGACCAAAAAAGTCCCATTAGCTTAGAAAACATACAAATTGAACCGAACAAATAGGTCCACACCTTGATTATCTTAGGTCTGGGGTTTGTTCTTCAGGATGCACTAGTCTCTGTTTAAGGACCTGTTTGGTTTGATGTTCTGGGATTTTGTGTTTGGAGAAAATCCTCTTGAGTTTTTCAGAGACTCCAGCAACAAATGGGATGGTGATGTTTTTGCGTTTAATCGTCTCAACATTATCTTCTGCTGCGTGTCTTTTGGATTTCCTTGCTGATTTGACAAACGGCCACTTTAGGTATCCACAGGTTGGGAGAGCATCATTGATGTGTTTCTGTTCTTTGTGCTTCCCTTCTGTTTTAGTAGGCAATGCTCGGCCTGGTGTTGTAAGGTCCTGATCACAGAAAGTTTGTGTTCCATTGGGTGGTGTGAGTTAAAAAGAAGATAAGCTAAGCATCTTCAAACTTGGAAAAAAGTCCAGTGGATTGTTTTTTTTAAAAACTGTTTTGGAATGACTAACCTGGATGGCTGAGAACCAGCATATTTAACAATTAATGTGTAAATATAGTGTCAGTTTTATCTATAAACACCTAATGTTTGTTCAGTAACTGAAAGTATCTTTAAAAATGCAACTTTATATTTAGAAGTGTGAGATGAAACTTCAGATTGTTAAATCAGTGAGAAGCAGCTAATCCTAAAAGGTAAAAAAGATAACTTCAAACACAGACGTCCTTCAATAGGCTGGGATTAATAAAGATGGGCGGATTTCCTCTGATTGATATTAGAAGCTACGGTAAAGTTGGAGGAGTTTTGGACACAAACATCTATAACCTTTAGCATCTGAATGGTGACACATTCTTTGTTGGAGTTATTATGATTTCTGTCTAACCCTCACTAAGCCAGAACATGAAATTCCCCTTAGTCAACTCCATGTCACTATGAATATATCTCAGAGTCCAGACACAGACTATGCACAGCAATTTTTGAGAAACGAGGTTGTCCCAATTAGCTTTCTATATTTATACACTGATGGAGTCTCATTTGCTGCTGCAACTGTTTTGTTACCTTCAGAGCTTCCACCTTTGTACAGATTCCCATGGCTGCCACATATATCACTTTTCCGTTCTAGTGAAACACAGTGGAAAGACAGTGGCCCTCATTTACGAGTAGCAGACGCAGCTGCAGACTACACACCTCTTAATCACTGTGGTTGGTCCTTTAGCGTTTCAACTGGCCTGAGCAGACTTGAGCTTAAGTATGTTGTGGACTCACAGACCAGAGTACATGAGTTAGAGTGACAAACTGAACTTTTTCTAACTTAAAGAGAGGAACTGGATTTACAAAATGTTCCTCAGCAGTTATGGTCAACGGGCCCAACAGATGTAGGTCTAATTACAACGATTTCTCCAGTTACCATTCAACCAAAATCACAATGGAAGCCCAGAATAAAACAGTACCCTCTAAAGAAGGAAGCACAGGAGGGTATCAAACCAGTTGTAAAAGATTTACTCATGGCAGGAATAATCAGACCATGCCCTGATTCCCCATGCAATACTCCCATCTTTCCAGTCCAAAAGGCTAATAAAAAGATTGGAGAATGATTCAGGACCTGCAAGCTGTAAAGCAAGCTGTACAGACCAGATCCCCTAATGTTCCTGATCCGCACACTCTGTTAAACACTTTAAGCCCTGAAAACAAGTATTTTTCAGTTATTGATTTGAGTAATGGTTTTTTCTCAGTACCAATTCATCCTGACTCTCAATATTGGTTTGCTTTCACATTTGAGGTTAGAAAGTTTACATATACCAGACTTCCTCAAGGCTTTGCAGACAGCCCTACTATTTTTACCCAAGCTATTCTGGCATGCCTGGATGATTTTGTTTTGGAGTTACTATGATTTCTGTTGTTTTTATCATTTTATTCATTTATATGTTTTATATTGCTCTCAATCATTTGTTTTTCTATATGTTACTTTCATCATTGGAAATAGTGTATGAAGGTCATAAGACGGTCAAATGTTTTGCAAGAATGCTTTCGTGTTTTTCATTTGAGAAGCACAGAAGTGAAAGTTCATAACCCTGACACCTTGTGTAAAGC